TACTCTTACCACTCCTGTTCAATACAGTTTTGGAAATATTAGCCACAGCAATTAGACAAAAGAAAGAAATAAAAGGAATAAAGATAAGAAATGAAGAAGTCAAATTGTCATTATTTGCAGATGACATGATACTCTATACAGAAGACCCCAAGAACTCCATCAAAAGTCTTAGACTTTTAATCTAAATTCAGTAAAGTAGCTGGATACAAGGTCAACACACAAAAATCAATAGCTTTCCTGTACATGAAAAACAGACTCACTGAGAGACAAATGGGATAAACAATTCCTTTCACAATAGCATCCAAAAAATTGAAATACATAAGAATCAACCTAACAAAAGAAATCAAAGACCTCTACTCTGAAAATGACAGCACTCTGAAAAAAGAGATTGAAGAGATCAGTTAGTACTCTTGAAGACATTGGTGTAGAAAAAGATTTTATGAACAATACCTCAGTTGTCCATGAATTAGCACAAAGTATGAACAAGTGGGATATCCTCTTACTAAAACGCTTCTGCACTGCAAGAGAAACCGCCAACAGTGTGAAGAGACAATCCAAAATGTGAGAAAAAATTTTCACCAATTCTTCCTCAGATAATTGTCAACTATCTAGGATATATAAAGAACTTAAAAAAAATCAGACCTACCAAATGTAAAGACCCAATCCAAAAATGGGCATCTGAAATGAACAGACATTTCTCACACAAAGAAGTAAAGATAGCAAATAAACATATGAAAAAGTGTTCAACATCACTTGTCATTTGAGAGATGCAAATGAAAACAACACTGAGATTCCACCTCACCCCAGCAAGAATAGCTACTGTCATGAAATCAACCAATAACAAACACTGGTGAGGCTGTGGGGAAAGAGGAACCTGCTCCACTGCTGGAGGGAGTGTAGACTGGTAAACTACTATGGAAATCAGTATGGAGATGCCGCAAAGGATTGGAGGTCCCATTTGACACAGCTATTCCCCTGCTGGGTATCTTCCCCAAAGAATTAAAAGAATCATATCACAGTGATATTTGTACACCCATGATCATAGCAGCACAATTCGTGATAGCTAAAACTTGGAAGCAGCCCAACTGCCCATCAAAGGGAGACTGGATAAAGAAAATTTGTTTTGTTTTGTTTTTTATAAAATGGAGTACTACTCAGCCTTAAAGAATGATAAATTAGAGACATAGCTAAATGGATGCACACTCAAAAATAAATTGGACACACATGTGTAAATATTGAATAGTTTCTCTGGTGTGAAAAACTGAAAGTGCAAATAAGGTTCAAATAGTATAATTGGTAGTGTGAAATAGGCAGAAAATGTCTAAAGGTGAAGGGAAAGTGGGAAGGGCAGGGGAAAGAATACAAGGGAGAAGAAAAAATATGAAAAAAGAAAAAAATAGAAAAAAGTTTCTGACTGGATAAAGAAGTTGTGGTTTTTCTATAAAATGGAATATTACTCAGCCATAAAGAGCGAGAGAATAGATTCATTCATAGGAAAATGGATACATATTGAAGATATACTCCTAAGTGAAATAAATAAGTCCCACATGTGTAAATACCGAATAGTTTCCCTGGTGTGAATATTCTGCAACAATGCATAAGATTCTAATAAGATTACTGACATTTAGAAATGGGAGGAAAGGAGCTAAAGGTGTAGGGAAGGTGTGATACGTAGGGGAAGAACAAAAAGGGAAAAGAAAAAAATGTGAGAGAATGAAAAGATGAAAATAAAGTGTTTGTAGATGGGGAGGGGAGGAGGGGGTGAAGGGAGGGCAGAGGTAAGGGGAAAAAAATGAGAATCAAGACTTGCCATGTAAAGGTACATGATCCCAACAATGAATGTAACTGTACTGTATCCCTAAATGTACCAATAAACTCAATTAAAAAAAAAAAAAAAGAAAAAAGAAAAAAGTTTCTGTAAATAGGGAAAGATGAAGGAGGTATGGGCAGGGATATGGGGAAAAAAATAAGAACCAAGATACATCACGTAAAGGTACAAGATACCAATGATGAATGTAATTATATTGTTTACCTTAAATGTAATAATAAACTTAATGGAAAAAAAGGAACGAGAAATTAGAGACATTTATAGCTAAATGGATGCGCATTGAGGTGATATGCTTAAGTAAAATAAATAGGACACACATGTGTAAATACCAAATAGTTTCTCTAGTGTGAGTAATTGAAAGTGTAAATAAGGACTAGAAGGTATAATAGACAATGTGAACTAGGAAAAGAATGTGAAAAGAGGAAGGGGACATGGAAGGGGTAGAGGAAAAGAAAGAAGGGAATGGAATAAATATGAGAAAAATAAAAAATGGAAACAAAGTCTTTGTAGATAGGGAAGGGTAGAGGAGTCGAAGGGAAGGAAGGGGAATAGGGAAAAAATAAGAACCAAGATGGATCGTGTAAAGGTGCAAATTTCCAATGATGATGGTCATAATATTGCATACCTTAAATGTATCAATAAAACTAATTTTTAAAAAAGAAAGAAACAATACAGTTGATAAGTGCTTCTCCTTAAATCTGAACTTACTGACTTCTGTTATGATTGAGAATCCCCAGAGACTCACATCGCAGGCCCCTCCAGGAGCCATGACTCCATTCTGTGATGCTGGAGCCAGGGCCAAGTAACTGCTAAGGTGAACACAGTCTAATACTAGAGGTCATACAGCATCACATGCGTTCAGAGAAATCCTGCCACCACACACAAGCACGACTGCTAGCCATACAATTCGTAGCTGAACATAAGCTGTGATATATCACCTAATACACTTCTCCCCATCAAACCAAAGAAGTTTTAAGTTCATTTCTTGGAACAGCTGAGTCTTCCTTAAAGTATTCTTATATCTTTTTCTACTGTGCTAGTATGTATATTCTTCTTAGCATGCATGTAGGCACTGGGAAGAAATAAAAATATAAGAATTGTATTACTAATTTAATTTTCTGCTTGGTGTACTGGATATCTGCATATGAAATGGAGACCTTGGAAAGCCCACACTATTCCCACAATTACTTATTAGAAACAATGTTCATTTTATGTAACAAAAAGAACAGTTAATGAAGTTTAGGTATCTTTGGGGCAGATAATTTTTCAAGGCTATGTTCTTAAGGCTTCAAGATTAAGGACTTGACTGTGGGAGCTGAGTTTTAGGGGCAGGACACCCCAGATAACCTCACCCACATGCATTTCTCAAACAATGCTTTCCTGTATGTAAACAGAAAATAGAAAGGAGTATATAGTTTTTGTTCTTAGTATTAAATAGCTGGCTTTTCTTCAGTGCACGCTGAAATTTCTGCACAATACACAGCCTTCAGCACCCCAAGGAGCATAAACAAAGGATATCAGGCAAGTTCACCTACTCCCACTTCACAGAACAATGCTTGTTGTTAACTAAGCAATTCCCAGAGCAGATTTATGATTCGTTGAGCCCAGAGTAAGTACTCAGGTTGGGTCTTTGGAATCTGGGGTTAGAAGCACATGATGCTGCTCAATCCCCAGGGCTTTTATAAAACACAAAAATGTGACCTAAAGTTTGTGCCTTGTGTGTACAGCAGAGACTATTTAGGCATTTGCAAAAATTAAAGCACATTAAGACCTCAAAACAGTTTACTGTTTGTGCTATAAGATTAACCTTTTTTTTTCTTTCTGTGGTTACAATTTTTCTCTGATGAGTAAATGTCTAGTGAATCAAATAAAATGATTCAACTACATATATAACATGTCTTATGTATAAAAAACTGACAAGGTAACATTTAGAAAAATTTGAAAAATCCATTCTCATTTCCTACCAAAAAAAAATCATTCTCATTTCCTAAAAAATTAAGACTGCGATCATTTTCCTGTAATCTTAGATATTACATTTTTATAATAAGACAAAATTTGCAATATATGTATTTAATTTAACAGAAAACTTTGAAGGTCCAATTAGAACTATTACTACTTTAAAATTAAAATACACAAAACTGTGTGCAAAGGTTTCTTTCCTCTTGCCTTATCAGGGAATATCCTGGCTAGAGTTACACTCCATGGGTTTACATCATGCTATAAACATGAAATGTAATTTTGGAGAATAGTTCCTTCCCCTTGTTATCTGGCTCTTTATGAAAGTGAAGTAAGTTACCGTTTCCATTTTTATGAATATTATTATTATCAAGTTACTAAAACTATGAAATAATTGACTTTCATCATTACTCTTTTATTGTTTTGTAAGCACCTATTAAATATTAGAACAGAGCCAGAAAAGAGAAAACATAGATGATATATATTATAATTACATTTTATATATGATTACATAACTTTGAAGAAATTTGGAAACATCTCAATCCATGAGTTAACTACTGAATAATATACGTAGTTAGCACTTTATAAATACAGCTATATCTCAGGCAGAATGAAATTGTTGATAAGTCACTGAAGGTACTGAGTCCCTTCACATGCCATAGACAATCCAAGTGCTTGTCTGTAATTTCAATTGACTTTATGTAAAGATAAGTGGCTAGCCTATGGTCTCCAAACAATTATTTAAATTTAACTTTAATAATTTAAATTATTTAATTTTCTATGTTACTGAGGAAAGTTATGGCTTACCAAATTTCCAAAGAAGTTCTGGTGCTTAAAGGTTACCTAAATAGTTTTTAACATCAACCATGCAGTTTAAAGGTGAAAATACAATTAAAAAACCAATTATTAAAGAAGACCTATTAGTCTCAAAAACAGTCACAAAATCACAAGGCTTTTGTTGTTGTGGCTGTTGTTTTGTTTTGTTTTTATAAAGTAATAGTAATATTTAGGAAGTTCTGGGTCAGAAGACAGAAGCTGATAAAAATTCAGAGTCTTCAATTCTGGCATAAATGGAAAACAACATAAATGCCTGGTCTACTGAGCTTCTCCTTGTCTGTTAGCTAGAGAAGAAATGCTTGTCTAACACCTACCAGTGGAAATTCATTGAAAAAAATAGATTAGTGAGAATAAAACAACAAAAAGAATAGTTCCTTACCCATTGCTTCCTACTGAATGAACTTTTGACATATCAGCAAATTCTTCTTTCCTCTTGCTGCTGCTGGTGTACTGCTCACTGTACAGCTTGAGGGACATCTGCTCAACAGCATCTCTTTGTGCTTCCAGGTAGCATAGCTGAACCTCAGCCTGGAGAGAGACAAAAAGGAACTGCTGCTTTAATCCAGAAGGAATGCATCTCAAATGAGGTGTAACAACTCAAAAAATGAGAACTGTTCACATTGCTATACTGCTCTTTTTAGGTTGGATTTAATGGGATCAACTGGGCATATGACAGAATTATATTTCATATTTGAATCTTGTAAGTTCTTCCTTAAAATATGACCTGAATAAATGAACTCCCAGAAGGTTCAGTAAATATCACAAATATCCCTGAGATCACAATACTGTGTAAGACTTCACGTATAAATTGTGTGAAATTCTTTAAAAGGTTCATCCTCACATTGTCAAATATGCAGCACTTACTTTTAAAGATCCACATCAACCCATACATTACTACTGTATATAAATATTATATATTTATAATATACATATATACTGAATGCATCTTTGTTTTCTTTCCTGGAGAGAATAAACAAGCTTAATATTAATTCTAATACCTCTTAAATAGCAGAATAGAATTCCTTTCTTACCCTTTTTGTGTTCTTTGCATTTTTGCCTTCATAATTTTAAGTCAAAGAAATAGTGATTTTTTGCTTATATACAGGTCTGAATTGTTAAATCTTTCATAGTTATTTGGCACTCACTGTAAAGGAGAGGTAATAAGTTCACCATGATGTTTTCTATCAAACTAAGTCCAAAGGAAAGATAAAAATGAAACAAAGCTTTTGTAAATATGAAAGGGAAGAAGGGTTGAAGGAAGGGGTGAGGAATGGGAAAAAATAAGAATCAAGACATGTCATGTACAGGTACAAATTCCACATGATGAATGTGATCACTGTGTATATCTAAATTCTACCAATAAAGTTTATTAATTTAAAAAATAATGCTGAATAATATTTGGCCTGGAAATGTAATGAATAGGTACTTTATTTATCACAGCTGTTATAATCCCTGTGCCTTTAGGATTTCCTAGAACACCAGATGAATGAAGTCTCCTCAGGGGTTTTCATATCCATGGTAAAAAAAGGGACCGGAGCAATACTGAGTTCACATATTTTGTGAATCTAAAGACTATTCTTTCAGTGTGCTTCCTGAAATCCAAGTATATTCTTTAACATTTATGATGAACCTTAAAACTGCTATTTTGTAATTTTATCACACAATCTCTTAAGAAAAACAGTTGGGGTCAGCAGTTGAGTAGTCTCTAGAAGTCTAGAACATGTAAGAAAAATTATGTCAGATATGATCTGTTCTCCCTAGGATCTAAAGTCAACTCAGGCCCTTTGCCTGATCTCATTTTACAGACCTGACTATGGATAAAAAGAGAGTATTATAAAGTGGCACTTGCTAGAAAAGCCAAATTAGGACTATGTAAAGAAAACAGTTTATGAGAAATAAGGTCTGAAACTATTCTAGACTTCCCACGGTGCTGATTTCCACAAGTTATGAATGTGCTAGACTGGCAAGTAAGAACTTAAAGAAATAATGCTAATATTATATAACTGAAGATTCAGAAAGTAGTTCAAAACTGTAATTGGCCTATTAATTTAAGTAAATCATTATTTCTCATACCCACTGGCTTGGATAAGAAGAGACTCATTTGGATTAAGAATTATGACAGGGCTGGACATGGTGCCATACACCTGTAATCTCAGCAGTCTTACAGGATGAGGCAGGATAGCTGTGAGTTCAGTCCCAGCCTGGGCAACTTAGTGAGTTAGGGAGACTTTGTCTCAAAATAAAAAATAAAAAGGGCTGGGGAAGTAGTTCAGTGCAGAGACCATTAGTTCAATATCCAGTATCAAAAAAGAATTGCATTAAATACTATATAAAGAAAAGGTAATATTACATAGAGTAGGAGGTGTGGCTGGTGGAAAGGCACAAAGAAAACGCAAACTCTATTGCTAAACTGCATCTTTATAGAATGATATAGAAGAGGGGTATGCAGAACATGGAAGGCGCGTATAGAAAGTGCCAAGTAAGAGTTTTGTAAATACCATAAGATCAGGAGGAATAATACTGATCTCAGAATATATATTTAAAATGTTAAAACTGACTATAGAGAACTGATTAGAAAAACAAGAGAACACAGCCTTGAAAGGAGCACACAAATTCACATGCAATAAATGATATACCAGATATCGAGCAAAGAGCTTAAAAACAACAGTCTCAAATACCACCTCCTTCCTTCCACTGAAAAGCTACAAAATTTGGATTACTTTAGGACTTACTAAATAAAACAGAACTCTTTATCCTCATTTTCACCACCTGCCCCAAATCTCTCCATACTTAAGACCTTATAGATGTCACCATCTATTTATTGCTCAGTTCAGAAACCTAACAATCTCTTTTGGCTCCCCTTCATTTCCCACAGCAAGTCACTCTTTAAGTTGATTCATTTTCCAAAATGTCTCCTCAATCTGCATTGCTTCCACCTTAGTCCAAGCTTTTACCTTTCACCTGCTATCCAACAGTTATCTTCTAACGTGTGCTATTTCTTCTTGCTCACTCCTATGCCTTCTACCTCTTCCCTTACTTTGGCCAGAGGGGTCTTTATAAAACACAAGCTGATTTAGTACTATATTTGAAATAAACACTTTTTCCCCATTGTCTAGGAGATCTATTTATTTCCTACTTCAGACCTCACTTCTTGCCTTAGACTTAGTCTCCTTCTGGATCACCATACCCGTGTAATCCCTGCCTTCTTTCAATTCTTTAAACATTTTGGTTTTTTTAAACAATTCTTTCCTGCCTCAGTATCTTTTGCATACACAGTGTTGTCCTCTTTTTCTTAAACATTCTTTTGACAATGTGTTCTCATTCTTCAGCTCTTATCTGACACAATACTTCTCAAAGAGGCCTTCTTCGATGACCCTATGAAGATAGAGCTTCTTCATTTTATTTCAGAATCACTTTACTTTCCTCCATAGTATGTTTTAATTTAAAACTCTTGCATATGGTGGTTTAAATTTATTTTTGTCTCTATCTCAAGAATCCAAGCAATATAAGGGACATCTTTCTTTGGCCATTTTGCAATCCAAGCACTTTAGGAGTATCTAGAACATGAAAGGTTCAATAAATAATTGTTGGATAAATAAATTGTACATTCATTCATTCATTCATTTATTAGCCCTATGTTCACTGAGACTCTATCAAACCTCAGGAACTATACCAAGTATTCTGGGTACAAAGGAGACTACAAAGTGGCCACTTCTGAAAAGAGCATTGTGGTGGAGGACGAAGCCACACTAATACATAACTACAAGACTGCCAAGTGAAATGGATTGTGGGGAAATATGGGAAATAAAACAGTTTACTCTTGAAGATGGGAATGAGCAGTAAAGGCTTGATAGAAGTGGCATTTGAGCCAGAACTGAGATAATGAACATGATTTTATCAGGTGAGGGAGCAGATGAATATATCATAGGCAGAGTAACTCATTTGTTTAAGGTTGTGAAGTCATTAAAAGTATGGAGCATGTTCAAAGAATGGCAGATAGAGGCAGTTAAATGAAGAGGCTAAAGTCAAAGGATAGACTACAAAATATGAAGTTAGAGAATTCAGACACTATCCTGGACACAGTGTGGCAAAAAAGTTGTCATTCTTTCTGTAATGGCCTTAGTCTTCCACCTTCTGCCTTCTGTCATAAGATAGCCATCTAAATAGGCTTGTGAATCTCTTGCAATTGGCATACTGTGAAAATACCATGGTGAGAAGGGAATCAGCAGTTACTACAAGGCTGGGAGCCCAGCATCACAAAGTGGGAATGTCAAAGAGATTTTATTAACTAGTATCTCAAGTAAATAAGTAACTTAATATTATAGACTAAATTGTGTCCCCTTATTCCCAAATTCATACACAATGTGACTAAATTTGGATATAGGGCCTTAATGAGATATTAAAGTTAAATTAGGACACTTGTGGAGGGTCTTACAAGAAGAGAAGACACATCAAAAGTGTATACACCTTGAGGAAAGGCCACAAAAGAATACAGTGAGAAGACACCCCTTTACAACCCAAGGACGGAGGCCTTGCCAGAAACCACACTTATGAACACTTTGATCGTGGACTTCCAGCCTCCAGAACTGAGAAATAAATTTAACCACTCTGTGGTATTTTGTTATGGCATCCTAATAAAGTTTGAAATGCTACATTTCACCTGAGATTTAATAAAATTGCTTTGCAACTTATCATTACTAGCATGTTTCCCCCATTTATTTTATATTCACCTAGTGCCTAGATCACTAGAGATATACCTCTTCAAATTTATACTATCTGAAATGAACAGACTTTTCTCAGACAAAGAAATAAAAGCAGCAAGTAAAATATATGAAAAAATGCTCCACATTACTGGTCATTCAAGAGACGCAGATGAAAACAACACTGAGATTCCACCTCATCCCACAAAGAATGACTGCTACCAAGAAATCACACAATAACAAATGTTGGCGGGGTTGTGGGGAGAAAGGAACCCTTCTCCATTGTTGGTGGGAGTGCAGACTGGTGCAATCACTATGGAAGTCAATATGGAGATACCTCAAAGAACTAGGATTAGAGGTTCCATTTGACCCAGCCATCCCTCTGTTGGGTATCTTTCCAAAAGAAGTGAAAGAATCATACCACAGTGATATATGTGCACCCATGTTTATAGCAGCACAGTTTGTAATAGCTAAAACTTGGAAACAGCCCATCTGTCCAACAATTGGAAACTGGATAAAGAAGATGTGGTTTTTTTTTATAAAATGGAATACTACTCAGCCATAAAGAATGAGAAAGTAGATTCATTCATAGTTAAATGGGTACATTTTGAGGATACACTTCTAAGTGAAATAAATAAGGCACGCATATGCAAATACTGAATAGTATCTCTGGTGTGAAAAACTAAAATAGTACTCAAGATCCTAATGGGACAATTAGCAAATAGGAAGAAAAGGACCAAAGGTGCAGGGACAGTGAGAAGGATAGGGAAGGGGGAATAAGGGAAAAGGGAAAAAATATGAGAAAATGTAAAAATGGAATTAAAATGT